TCTTGATGTAAACGGATAGGATCGACAAAATCATGTGCTCCTGGTAGATCTTCACATGCTAACCCAATATAACACTCTGGGGTACTACCAGTTTACAAGTAACACTTACATAGTTTTAATTTCATACCTTTTCTTCCTGATTTTCTGTATATACATACAGATATTTCCAACAGAAATTGTGTATTGGGTCACAACATCTCAAGTGATTCCTAAATTGTGAGACCAGAGGCATTTTGTATCTTATTTCCTTGTCATCAATGGATGGGATTCCCATGCAGCATGACTGTTTGGTCAGATGTATATGGAGAATTTCATCAAGTACAAAATGAGTGAGTATGGTTTTACGCCCCTACTAGCAATATTAGAGCTGGGGACACCATTAATGGGCTTCACACATTGTATCCATGTGGGGAATCGAACCTGGGTCTTCAGCATGACCAGTGAATACTTTAACCACTAGGCTACCCCACCACCCCATTAAGCAAAGAAGGATTGGAGCACACAACACATCTTCATCTGTAAAATGATGTGAGGCGGGCGGGGATAAAAATATAAACACTGGTAATATATCATGGCCTAAAGGGGGATTCACAGACAAATAGGATTTGGGTTAACAATGTCTACTGCATACAAACCAATAAAAACCAGTAATAAGCACCTGACCGCAATAAGAATGCAAATATTGTATGTATATATATCCCATCTGATGGCTGATGGATAGAGACAGCTGACTGACAGCTAATTACTTATTCATTCACCGGTGTAATTAACATGTGTGAGTAATGATGACTATCATATTAGCACCAGCCGGCTCAGCAGTACACACCTCACCCTTGTGTTCATTCCGTCAGCAATTTTAACCTACCTCTATTGTCAACAGCAGAGAATCAATACACTTCCACCACACTGCACCTACTGAATTCCTAGCCCATGAGCACACAGATCTTGCAACAATGTCCCAGGCAGTCAGTGAGGGTGATGTTCTGATGTACACTGCTTTAAAGCTTGAGTGCCAATTTTAACCTTGTCACTTGTAACATGTAATAAGTGACCCAATTTTGAAAAAGAAATGGGTACACAAAATACTGAAGTGTCTTGGCCAAGGGCACAGGTAACATGTAACGGGGTGCGTACTCCCTGCACCCCTCTCTGGATCTGCAAGGTGACTGGGAAAGTTTGTTTGATTGGTAATTATCAACGGCCAGATTGACACCCATCATCAAATTTCAGATTAAAGAAAGAGGTTTAGGAATAACTATGCACTGACCTGAGACCAGTCTCCCTCTATACAATTCCCTAACCATACCTGATGAAGGAGTAAGTATATAGTCTGGAACATGTTCTACATAATAAGGAAATCAACATCCATGAATTCTATCTCTTATGTGTATCACTTCTAAATGGCGTTCAAAGACTTCATATCATGGCACACCAAGAATTGGCTTCATGTAGTGTATCGATGCGGGGAATTGAACCCTGTCATCCACAAGGCAAGTACTTCTAGGGTACCCATTTCATACCTAAATGACATGTATACAGATAACAATATAATTGCCGAAGAATTAACATAATTTGAATCTGTGTATTGTATACATATGACTGATGTCAATGAACAGTGATAGTTGTGTGAGGATGTTCTAATGGCATTCATTGTGCTTGTGAAAGCCACATACAATGATTGAGTGGACACACTGGCTTTACAATTTGTCTCGATTCTGTGTAATCGTACCCAGTTATTGCTATCACCTTGTTTGTGTGGTCCACACTTGATTATTTATGGGCTACTGTAGACACAAAGTGAAATACAGCTCGAATATTGCTGAAGTGTGCGATAAACAAACAGCTATTGTGTGATAAATATTTTTATATGCCAACTTTCGTAGAAAGGTATGAAATTTTCTACACAAACAAGCCAAATACACATCAATAATAACACGCATCAAAATAATAACAGTCTGCATAATGCACCTGCCGATGACCTTCCCGCTAGTCAACAGCTAATTCTTGTTGACGCTGACAAACAACATTCTCAACTCAACACCCATCCTCATGGCAAGTCAATACCTGATACAAGTGTCATTCCATGCCCAATACACGCTACCTACACAAACCAGCCCTGCTAATTGACTTGTCAATTGTTGAATATGCAACGGTAAGAGAAGCAGATAAGCTGAAGTCCCTGTTTCAAATGCTATAAAACACCTGAGCTGGCTGAACCAGCTGGCCGCATGTACATGAAGCTTCAGCACCATGGAATCAGCATAGCCATGTCAAGTTCACAACTGTGTAAACAGACTAAACTGTTTTGTAAACAAGGACAATTTCCAGGACTTGATATACAATTAACACAATTACTATTGAGTATGAACCAGCTGACTATACTATTGAAAAACAGTTCTATATGCCAGAGTTGAGAACACAACAGATATTCTATTTAACAAGTCAGAAAATGCTACAATACCGTAATACATTAGTGGGACAGTATGAAAGCCCTTAAGAATATTACCTTAATAATTTCACTTAACATAAATATTGTAAAATAATACTTGAAGAAATATCATTAAATATTTTTAAATGTCATGTATATCAGAAAATAACCACAAACAAATGTCAATGTTCTTTACAAAAGGTAAATTGATCATAAATCTATTTAAATGATTATTAATCACAATATTACAATTTGAAAAGAACAATGTCAGTGTGTCAGGTTCAACATAAAACTACTTTTCAATTGGGAATGGTAGATTGTTGACCAATTTGATACTTTATTCAATTTACATTTCCTTGAGTTTTCATTACTACTATTTACACACAAGTCTGTGATAGATGCTGTAGAAACACAGGTGAAAGTACCACTAGCAACACAAGCATCTTTTTTCTCTGCAGCAAACATAAAAAAACCATGTGCGGATGTCACTAATCATGTGACAAGCCCTGGTGTAGACTGATACAGGATTAGTGAAAAATGTGTGTTGTATGTAGGATGAGCTAAAAAGATTGATAAACAGAAATACTGTCGATGAGAAGAAACATTTAAGATTATCGATATGAAAAATGTGTCGTTGATATCTTATGTAAACGATTGTGATGAAATAAAGGTTTACTTTACCGAAGCATACCTGTTTTTGTCCATTGTCGAAGACGGAAAGCAGCTGATTTTGTTATATTTTAAATGTCCACAATGTAATCCATGCATAAACGTGTCACCACTCACCAGTGAGGTGAGTTGTTTTCTCTCTCAGCTTTTTGCTCAAAGTTACATCCCCGATATTTATCGATAATTGATGGATATTTAGTTAACGATTATTGACAATTATGATCTATATCGATAGCCAGCCCTAGTGATATGTGAGCTGAATCACTAACTAGTATCTGCTATGGACGCCCTGAGTCAAGGATGGGATATGTTGTTCAGTAAACATATCTAAAATGGTTGTTGGTTTTTTGTTTAACGCCACACTCGGCAATATTCCAGCTACACGGTGGCGGCCTGTAAATAATCAAGTCCAGTGATTGATATCATGAGCATCGATCCATGCAACTGGGATCGATGACATGCATCAACCAAGTCGGCAAGCCTGACCACAAAAAGAAATATGCAACATACACTGTACAGCATAACATAGCTTTGTATCACTGAATGATATTGTCATTAGAAAAAAACATATAAAGATAGGTAGGTACTTGTGGGGATTGGGCAACAAGGCCTGCTTTGGTATTAGCCCCAAAATCTATATTAGTTTAACACTAAGCTTGACCTTCATATTGTCTAAAACTTTTTACACAAGGTTATTTATGAATACTATAATCGCTATTTTCCTATCAAAGTTGATGTTCTAAAAGATGTTCAGCATTACAATAGGTCATACATCTCTTAAAATTGGTCAGAATTCTCCATGTATAATAGACAGATGGTATCATCATGAATTCTATGTTAATAGAAGGATGACTAATTATATATAATATATAACCATTACAGTAATCGGGAGAAAAAGGGCGATCCCAAATAATACCCATTACATGAAACAAATCAGTGAGAGAAAGTGCTCATTGTTACATACACTGTTTATGACAGTGATGAATATCCATTAAGCATGTTGAGTGAGCTGAATTTTAAACCTGGTTGATATAATCTTTATTACTGTTTGAATTTTGATTGTTGTAACTGTTTACACATTTCATAGTAATTACACCTCAAATGTACAACAATGTTTTGACTGCCACTGTTGTATAGCTGAACTTTTATGGTTTTATCACATATTTTCAGCTGTTCTAGAAAATGATCGAATTAGATAATGTGACTTGCAGATTAGGTCAGTTTTTGGCTGTCCTTTTGCTTAACCAGCAAACTGCAAAGGAGCTTGACACGGTTTCTACCGATTTATACTTGGAAAGGTGAAAAGCAGCAACCCAGACTGTGCAGGTAATATGACATGCATTCAGTATGGATGAACGGGTGTATATAAAAGGTAAAGCATGGCATGAAGACGATTATGGGCCTAGTTCACGACAGACGTCTAGAGTTGGGGGAAGAATGCAAATGGGAGATAATGTACTGCACAGGGCGAGTTATATTTAGCCACATGACACACTTCTCAGTTAGAACACGTTTAGCAGATTAGCCCAAATATTTGTGATACTTTCATCAACTATGAATACAATTTGAGAAAAACGGTACATGACTCGACTTTAGTACTGTGACAAGTGACTAAATATGATGAATCAGTGTACTTGATGAATCGGCCAAACCCACATTGCCCTTAGAATTAAGTGCATCATTTCACAACAAAGGCGAACCACGACAGCCCACTTGTGAAGCCAAACACAGCGTTTTACTAGCATATTTCGCCAGAATCGAACATACAGACACGCGAATATTGACTGTACATGCACGCTAGGTCGTTTTCACGTCCAGTTTCATTTATATTGTGTATGTAATAGGCGATTTTATGTGAACGTTTTACACAAAGAAGATCGACAATGGAATGTCACTAACTTACCATACAACACCAAACGCCCCGTATCCAATGGGTCTATCTGGTTGAGCGTCTTGGGCAGGAACCACTTGATAATATGGTACAGCCACTGCCGCTGCCAAAATCGCCCCTTGGGTGGGGGTTTGGGCCGGTCCCCCTTGGAAAGACATCATGTGTCGAGAGTTGTGTCGCTGCCCAACTACCGCCATTGCCTAAATCACCCAGCACTAGGCTGCCGAAAAATTATATGAATTGCAGGTTTTATCACGTATGCATGTCCAAAAGCGTGGTTTTCGGTTAGATGGAAGTCTCTCCTAGTCCTATGGAGAGTTTGGTGGCTATATGCGGGAGAAAACCAACAAAATAAACCGAAGAAGTGGAGAGCAACGGAGCACTGACTCACACGCCGAACCAGCGAAGCCAGCACACAAAGAGGGTCACGTGACCACGCGCTGCGTTCCCAAGATTCGCTACATCGAGGCTTCCTTTTGAGGCCCCTATTATTTTTGGCATTCCTTTGAATTTATGTAGGTAAATGATATCAAAGTAGACTGTGTCAACTTAATGACTGCATATTATTCTTATCGAGATATGAATAATCTCTATAACGTCATTATGATAAAATATTTATCTTTATTATCATAAATGAATCTGTCGGTATTTTTACAACTTCAAATGTATCTCACAACTTATAGAATCATAGAGACTTGAATGGAAAATTCAAATGGTGTATATTCAAACTACATATTTATAGGAGAATGATACCACATTTTTAACATTATTTACTAAAGTTGTTGAAGGGAGTATTGTTAGCGGATAAAGGCAACTTCGCTAATATGAAGTTATCAATAACTGAAATTAATTATACTTTATTTCATATGGACTATCTGGTTTCCACTGAGTGAGCATGCTTTAAGTTTGCGTTGTCATCATCATCATCATCATCATCATCATCATCATCATCATCATCATCATCATCATCATTTTCTCAACTGAAGGTTTGTTTTTATAATGAAGGAAAATTGTTAAAAAATGCCACTATGCATAAAATGTTAAAAAAGAAGAAATTCAAAAGTTACAAAAGCTCGTATTTTAATAATTTCTTTTGAACAATTTTATTTTCCACTTGATACTGTGTTATAACTAATTCATTATTAATAATACATTGTTCTTGTTAAATTCTCCATTGTATTTCTTGAATTGATTTATTACTTCAAGACAATACGACACAAAAGTCTCTTATTGTCTCATGTATGCCAGTTTTGACAGGACACACTATTAATTATTGCGTATCATGTGTGTGCAAATAGGTATACCTTTCTGTTTTTGTGCGCTTGACACATGCATATACATGTAATGTCTGCTACTACTACTGCTGCTACTGCTGCTGCTGCTGCTGCTGCTGCTATAACTACTACTCCTGTTGGAGAGCCGCCCGTCTCCACGACGACCTGCACGACTCCGGCGTGTTCTTGGACTGTGTGCGTCACCACCTTCGTGACTTCTATAATAGCACATTGCCATATATCTAAACATTAAAACTGCAATGTTACAAAAGTAAACAATGAGATGAAATGTGGCGAAACAGAGAGGTTTTTATTTTATCTCTTACAGAAATATCAATTAACAATGAGATGTCCTTGTCTTTGTTTTGTTTTGAAACTTGGAATTGTCTTGTTCTACAAATTGAAAAGTCTAAACAGAGTTTAATTGACCTGTCACGGTTATATTGTAGATGTGTTTTAGCTTTAAAATAATTTCTGGTTTATCAAATATACCTGCTTGATTTTCATTCCTTAATTTGAGAATACAGCTTTTAATCTGAAACTTACATATGTACGAATACACTACGTATATATAAGATCGGTAATTCCGAAAAATGACATTTAAAATGTATGTATACGCCCTGTTTTGAAAAGTGCAAAAACACAAATCAAACTTTAACCATGTTTGGTAGGTTTTCTTGCCTTAATGCCATTACAGCTTTCAATGTTTAAAACATGTGCGTGCGTGCGTGCGTGCGTGCGTGCGTGCGTGAGTGCGTACGTCTGTACGTACGTACGTATGTATGTATGTATGTATCTATGTATGTACGTGTGTATGTATGTATGTATGTATGTATGTATGTATGTATGTATGTATGTATGTACGTGTGTACGTATGTAATATTTATGCATAGCGACAGCAGCACTGACATCTTTGTAACATATTAAATTTGTTTATTTTATTTTTCAAACTATATCTGGTCTTTATCTCATGATTGATGGATTTCCTTTCCCTAATTACCTCATAACAGATTCAAACCTGAAACGTTATGTTTGTGGATGTTTTTTATGTACGAATATACTATTGAAACATTGAAACTTTGTACTTGTACTGATCTTGACAACTTTAAACAACTTTCTGTCTCTGTCCGGCGTCATGTAGACCGTGTATATTTCTCACTCGTAGTGTAGGCCAGTTTGTGAGGAAATTTAATTTTACCGCATGTTGTGACTAGTACACGTTATTTGAAAGGATTTACGATAAGAAAGTAATGTTAAATTTTCCTGACGTTTTTAATTCTATTTTCCTGATGTTTTTAAAACTATTTTCCTGATGTTTGTTTGAGTGACCTTTCAGGTGATTATGAAGACAGGGTAAACGTGTATTAAGGACCAAACCGACACTCCAACAGGAAGTGTTCCTCACAACCAGGTATTGATAACCCTGTCCTGCTTGACAACGTCCATGGCGGACTGCCCCGACTGACTATCTTTTACTTGCGCTTCATTGACTTGCTTTCCCCTGTAATCGCGCGAATGGGAAGAATCGATCCTGGTGTGTGTGTGTGTGTGTGTGTGTGTGTCTGTTTGTGCGAGAGTGTGTGTGTGCGTACGTGCGTGTGTTTGTATGTGTAATAGCGTTCTTGTTCGTGTGTGTGTGTGTGTGTGTGAGTGAGTGAGTGAGTGTTTGTATGTGTATTAGCGTTCTTGTTCGTGTGTGTGTGTGTGTGTGAGTGAGTGTGTACGTGTGTGTCTTTTCAACTTTTGCTTTTATAATAAAGCAAAATGTAATAACCAGTGCAGAAATCACCGGAAGTAATTGTTTCTAACTTGAGCACAGCAACACTCGGACCGCCACACTCAAGTATAAAGTACACCTCCAAACGCTGTTCCGCGTGGCTGCCTTGCAAGTTAGGTAACATTTCTTGAGATAAGAAGTGAATGACACAGGTAGACAGGTGAACTGAACTACGTTACATGACCTGTAGACAGGTCACGCATCACGTGACAAGTAAACAGGTCAAATACTAAGGTGACTTTCAGTTTACAAGGAAACCTGGACGAAAATCTGTGTTCCCCCACTTGAACCGTATGTCAGTGATACATATCTCAGTTCAGAAGGTAGATTATAGTCACAAAGTTCATACTAGAAAATCATGTAATCAGTCTTGACAGATTAACGGGATACCGACTTAAATTGTGTAATTATAGATAACGGGATATTTCAAAACCTACCATCATTACAAAATGACAAAGCTGTAAAAATATTTTACACTCATCCTTTAATATTCCAAAAGAAAACTGACCCCCCCCCCCCCCCCTCCAGTCCTGTTGAACCCAGTCATACTTAGATAGTAAGCTGTTTCCTTTATATATTTAAAGAAAATAATCTTAAAGTAGAGACAATTGAAATCATAATATTCATTTGCATTTTTTGTTAACTTGTATAAAGATATTTTAGGCATTATTTACATGTTATTATATACTCTGCAAAAAAGAAAAAAACCCCGGAAAAGTAGTAAAATCTTAAATGTCTGCCGACCTCCAAACTTAATACAAAAAATGAATTGGTCATTTCAGTATGGATTGGGATTGATTTGTTTGGAAAAAGGGGGTACTGCAGAAATGTGGTGAAAAGATAATAAAATAGCAACAGCAAAAAACAACAACCACGAGAGAGCTTGGCGCCGAAACACACCAACATGACATGCACGTGCAGCATCACTTGTTGGACTATGAAAACGATCTTACAGCAAGTGAACATGCCACGACTGACGGAAGCCCAGCGCCAAAACTCGACCGGCCGACTGCAAACAGGAGAATCATCACTTGGTCGCAATCTCATGATAATCAGATCTTTGTTCTCGCTATTGCTAAACAAAGATCTGAGGACATCCCATTAAGGGTCACGTCAGAATTCACGATTCATTTTGTGGTGATAGTGTCATGATGTGGGCAGCCATCTCCTACACTGGTAGAACAGACTTTGTGCAAGTTCTTGGGGATTAACGACACAACGTTGCACGGATGAGATTCTTCAGCCACACGCCCTTCACATTATGCAGAAAGCGAAAGTAATTTTCCATCAAGACAACGTCCGACCTCACATGGCAAGACTGACAACAGCCTTCTCGAGGAATCACAACATCCGGGTCATGCCATGGCCCTCCTGGTCTCCTGGATTTAAACCCAATCGAACATTTAGGGGATTGCTGAGTCAGCATTAAACAAGAAACAAACAAACAAAAAACTGAATCAACGACTGCCAGCACACCAACAACAACCACACAACCTCCGACGGTTGGCACAAGCACTGCAGACAGAGTGGGTGAACATGGCCAGGCCACAATTCGGGATCTGATTGCTTCCATCGGACGACGATGCCATGTCATTTTAGAGTCTAATTGTGGCGATTCTAGATTGTGAGAACAGGTGACCTTCAATTGAAATTCTACTGTTTCCATGTGCAACCCGGGTCAATGACAATGGTGTGTACCAAAATTACCATCTATTGATTATTTATAATGATATATCAACTTATTTTGCAGAGTATTATAAAATGGGATCCAGTCCGGTTCATACTAGTCCCCTAACCTCCCATGTTTGTCATGCAAAATGAAGGCGACGTAAATGTGGATTGGGTGGCGAGAATGGCAGCTGTCATGGGTATAATCAGGGTGAGTGAGTGAGCAAATATTGCCAATCTATACGACGCCGGCGTTTCATGTCTAACCCGATCAGGCAAACTAGTGATTGATAGCATGAGCACCGGCCCAGACCGTCAGGATACGATAGTATCCACTCTGCCATTTCACTCACTGTGAGTGGTCCATGGATGCTCATAATAACCAGATCTCTTACCGATACGACACCTCTCTCTGCTTGAGATTAATGAAGTTTTAATGAGATTGTCGATAGATATTAACCTGAAACCAGACAAATCACATTGTGTTATTTAGCAAAAGGTCAATTTATACGAGGGTTTGTAGCTGATTTGGCCATCCATATGTATATTAGCCTCCTACTTCACAGTTCTGTACATCACTTGCTTGATAACGTCGCATGCATTGTAATAAAGAAGTTGCATATCCATTGAACTAGCTCCCTTGTTCGTCATACCAATTTCTAAAATGCTACTGAAATAGGAAATGGCCTGAT